GCCATCCATTGGCTTTTTTTTGAGCCATCCATTGGCTTTTTTTGAGCCATCCATTGGCTTTTTTTTGAGCCATCCATAGGTTTTTTTTGAGCCATCCATTGGTTTTTTTTTGAGCCTTTTTTTTGAGCCATCCATAGGCTTTTTTTGAGCCATCCATTGGCTTTTTTTTGAGCCATCCATTGGCTTTTTTTTGAGCCATCCATAGGCTTTTTTTGAGCCATCCATAGGCTTTTTTTTGAGCCATCCATTGGCTTTTTTTTGAGCCATCCATTGGCTTTTTGTTTGAGCCATCCATAGGCTTTTTTTTGAGCCATCCATTGGCTTTTTTTTGAGCAATCCATAGGCTTTTTGGAGCCATCCATAGGTTTTTTGGAGCCATCCACTGCTCTCATAACCAAGTGTTTCCCATGTCACAATGCTGAGTGTTCTTCGAGCGTATTTACTGAAATTCCCACAGGCGTCCAAACTCAGCCCAAAGCATCCCACCGGTCGAAACAAGTTCATTCCCTCCAGGTCAATAGTCATGATCAGTCAGTGGGTAACCTTTAAGTTCATTCCCATCCACTGAACAAGAGCAAGTAGAACAAGGTCAATGGGGTCAGGATCAGTTGGAGCTCATTTGACTGCATCTGGTCAAGAAATAAAACAACGACTCAATGAGGGTTTCAGGACCAGGTGTTGGATCTGGGTGGGAGCTGTACTTGATTGTACCTGTATTGTTTCGATAGGTGGTCACTGAGGTGCGCTTTTGACGATGTCGTCCTCCTTCTACTGGTTCATGGAGCTAGTTTTTGTTGACTTGCTTTCGTTTCAGGGTGTCCTCCGAACCCGAGGCTGCATCCCTATTTCTACTGGTTTTACCGTCCCTTGGACTTGGCCCCAGAAGGCAGACTTGGTTTGCTTGCGCAAAGGCAGGTTGACTTGGTCCCAGTCCCGGCATGGGATGCTGTCTTTTCGAAACAAAAGGGCGGAACTTCTATGGAACCCTCACGTGGACCCCACCTGATCCGTTTTCACCCATTGATATTCCACGTGTCTTATTTTGTTCAGATTGTAGTTGCACAGGTCATCATTTCTTTGAGGTTTTCTTTCGAATTGTCCATAGACACTGCACGTCCCGGAACAAGTCATCGCGTTTCTTAAAAGTTGTCTCTCTCCACTTCCAGACCATTTCATGGAAGTGGATGGCATGGCCCCGAGTTCCGAAGACCATGACATCATAGCAAACAGCTAGTGGTTATCCACTGCGACTGCTTATATCATTGTTTGGTAGAGTGAGCATGCAAGCACAGTTCATGTCCCAAAAAAGCGGGCCATGAACCTTGAACTATACCAACCTGTTCCTGCAAAAAAAGGGTGCTATCTGAGGGAGGAAGGAGAGGGTGTGGCTCGGCACGAGCCTCCGACTCCGAGCCACCACGGGAGATGTGACTCCGTTCCGTCTTCGGCGCCACTTGGGACTCTGGAGACACAAAGCGCAAAACGAAGGCAACTGCAAACATGGGCCAAACATGGGCCAAAGAAATCCATTTGCACTCTTCCCCCAAAGAAGACGTACCCAAGAGATAGTTGCCCCCTTCAAGGGCCACAAGATGTTGAAATAGACTGTTGAATAGCCATATGTATGTAATGTATGTCGTTGTGTTCTTCGGGTACCCTCCTACGAGCCACCGACCTCGCCTCCTTCGCAACCCGACTCGTGTTCCGACCTTCCCAGGTCGAGTTCCAGGCTACGGAGGCGGTGAGGTGCACATCGAACGCTTGTGGCCTTCGGGCTTAGAGGCGCCCATCGATGTGTGGTACGAAGCAGGCGACCCGCGGTGGTGGGAGAGGGGGGGCACGTGCGCAGGTGGAAAACGCGTGGAAAACGAGGCGTAGTGAGTTGGCGCCGGCGGTGCATGTGCTTGGGGTGCTTATGTCCGGGGCAATGCAGGTGCTTGACAGGTGTGGCAGGTTGGTAGGGCCAACAGCAACAGGTGCACCAGGCTTGTTGAGAGTTTTGTAGTTTTGCTTGACTGATCAGCGGCTATGCCTGCTCCTGGGAATATCCAAGCTCATGTAGCCCCACTATCCCCGAACAACGAAGATGATAGATCAATCACCTGCAAAACGAACATGTTTGTCGTGTGTGTGTGTGTGTTTGCTGACAGGTGCGAACATATGTGAATCATTATGGACCATTTCTCTTTACCAAGGGTACGGTATATTGGCTTGTTCACATGAACAGAAGCTTGATAGTATTGCAGCAGGTGTGTGTTTTTTTGTGAATTTTGTTTTGACGCCGCCATTTAACTGCTTAGTCAAACAATGGCTTTCCCTATAAAACAGCGGTTTGATGGGTTGATAGCTTGGTTGACTCCTGGGTACCTCAAGCCCCAAAAAAGACAAGTTGCGCGACGATAAGATTTGTACTGTTTGTATTGTAATTATTTGTATAACTGTGTTCAACTCTCCCTGTTCTAACAATATAAATATTATAATTGAACACCCTATCGAATTGTCCCAACTCTCCGAAAACTGAATACAATTCCCTAGGGCTCCAAGGACCTTCTTAGAAGGTGTTTGTGGTGGGTTTAGAGTTTAGAGGGTCCAAATACCTTCTAAGGCTAAGGAGGTACTTGGAGCGCTAGGGATTGACAATTCTATCAAAAGTGTCTTCCTCTCCAGACTCACATTGCCAGTGCTTCCAGTCCTTGGCAGGAGCTGCGCCTCCCCGGCCTCGGCCCATTCTGCTGAACGTCCACGGGGGCGCCTGGCGCGGCGGCGAGGCGCGGATCAGCCCGCAGGCGCCCATCTGGCAGACCCTCGCCGCGCAAGGCGCGCGGAGGTCGCGGAGGTCGCAGATCGTGGAAGGTCGGGGCGTGGACTCTTGGACACTGGAAGTCCAAGACCATTTTTAGACCCTAGCGCTCCCGTCGTGCCTCCTCAGGTTCGGTATGACTGGACCCGAACATGGCAGCCACCCCAAACACCTTTTCAGCATACGGATACTAGAAATATTCTAACACCAGGGCCCCGGCCCCCGGATTTGGGGTGGTTAATGGACACCCCTTAACCTTTAAGATGGTTTTTTCATTAAGACACATCGCGTTTCGGGGGCCCAGGTGTTCATTGAGCGTTTGGAGTGTGTGAACTCGAGGCTTCCTGATCGTCTCTTGCGAATACCGCCGCCGGCGCGCTCAATGGCCCGATCAGCTGGACGACTGCCGCGCGGCACTCATGTGGCTGGTGCGCGTCACTTGGTTTTTGTGGATGGAGTCGAAGGAATGGGCGGACGAAGGGATTCTGAATCAAGTGACTTATGGGGACTCTACTGGGATACCTATGGGATAGTCTCTAGGGTCTTTCAACCTCTGGAATGGATTGAGAAGTGTATACGGTTATGAAAGATCGCAATCCATCACATCTCGGACCAATGTTCAAGTATTCTGTTCAAGTGATTCATAGACCTCATCTAAGTGACCTCATCTAAGTGACGCCTGTGTGTGACCGAACATCCTGGGAGATGATTTCAGGTCAATTTCTTCAGGTCCTGGACGATACACCTTCTTTAAGGGTCTATCCGTCAGATGTTCAGTTAGATCACGATGTACTTGTTTTATTCGTGTTGGGCTGAAGATGTCCGACTTACAACGGTATATATATAGTCTTCCAAAAGCGTCCAGAAATACAAGCCTCCAGTGTTTGGATGTATGATTCGCTTGATGGAGTGCATCTTCCCTTGAATATATGACGTACAAGATGATGCCACAGAAGTATCTCACGCAATCACGGTGGCTGACCCCTCCTGAAATTGGGCAGTTTGGCGTTGTCAATCCCTCACCTTGCTGGCATGTTTCTTCCATGCACTATAATACAGACCATATCAGTTATTGAAGCCTCCCCAGTGTTTGTTGGTTTCAACACGTGCGACGGCAGCCCAACCACGGGACCTTTCCCCCAACTGGTTGAATCTCCTTCAGTTTTGATGGTGTTTTTGAATCCCCTCGGGTGCGGCTGAAACCCCCCTCGTTCTTCCAACCTATTTCTGGGTGAAGTCCCTCAACAAGAACTCTATAGGCACGGCGTTTCGCCGGTCCCCGAGGTTCCCGCGGCTTCCGCCGATGTGGCACCGTCACCGCGCGTTCCGCCGCGTTCCGCCGAGGAAGGCGCGGCGCAGTTTCACGGCGACCTGGAGGACCTGACCATCGCGGGCGCCTCGGCGGGCGGACATCTGGTGGCGCTGCTGCTGGCGGAAGCGGTGAAGAAGCAGCTGCCGCTGCCGGTGTGGCCTGGGCCGTTGAGGTGGTGGGGGGCGAGGGGGGAATAGGTATATATATATATATATTCGATATATTGTTGTTAGGCAGGTAACCTCAGGTAGTTGTTCTTTTGTTTGGTGCTCCAAGAGTTTTTTTTGGGAGGGGAGGGTGGGGGATTTGTGGGGAAGGAAGAAAAATGTAGTACAACCTATGTAGGTATATTATACTCAACTTAGAGAGTTGAGCTGGTAGTTGTAAGTGTGGATGGAACTACCAGAAGTAAGGTTTGAATGACGTTTGAGAACATCTCAGAACCCTATGTTCGCAGCTATGTTCGCTCTGTTGCTGTTGCTGGCGTCTGATATGTCTGAGGGGTTGGCGGAAAGAGAGAACTAGACTTGAACATGCTGGGTGAGTATGAGGCACAAGCTTTTCCACTAAGTCTATCAGATCCCTACAGGTCAGGAGCTGAATATATACATGAAATTCTCAAGTTGGTCATACAAATTCACACTAAGTACTGTACTTATAGTATACAGACTTCGGTTTGAACAGGTCTGGACCTGGGTCAGACTGGATTTGCTATGTTCTTGGAGAGCCAATCCTTGTCCTGGCAGCAGTTTGCTGATCGTATGGACAAATTTGACTGCTTTTTGGGCCGGAACGCTCGAGATGCCCCAACCCTTGGCATTTTGGGGGATATCATACATATGGGTACAGGTGTAGCACGATTACCAACATGGGCCAAGAGTATACCACCACCTGAGTTTTGAAGTCTCCGTTCATGTCACTGACTATATATAATACATATATATATATACCATTATATTAATATACCATATTTTTCAACTGTGCAAAATAGCGGGCACTCGCCTGGTTTTATATGGTCTTATAGATGACCCAGATAGATTCTCTTGCACACTCGGAAGATTCTCGTGCGCCAAAACCCAAGAGTGATCCTGAATCACTATATATAATGATAAATCACTTGAACATACACTGAACAATAGAGGTTTGTTCAAGATCATCCGTCAGTGACGACTTCTTTGTTTCACACGTCCGATCCATCAGATGCAGCGCCCCTTTCGCGCGATGGTCCTCGTCCCAGGACCTTCCGCGCAGCGCTGCTCTTCTATCCGGCGCTGGACCCGGCGGACCGCTGCGGCTCCACTGCGCCTCCGCGACGAAGAGGGGCGTCCACCGGGCCTCCGCGGTCGAAGCAGGGGAGATCGTGGGAACGGTCGAAAGGTCCGACGGAGCTTTCAGAGCCCGTTTGGACGACACACGGACCCGGACCTTCGTATCGAAGGTGACACTGGGGTTTAGAGGGTCCAGTCATACCTTCTAAGGAGGTAACCTCCTGGAGCCCAAACGGGGACAAGATGAGGTTAGGTGTTCGGTCGTCCGACCTGGATCAGACCCTGTCGACTTGACCGTTCGGACGGTCCGTTCGGTCCTGGGACGCGGCCGGACCCGAGGCGACCTGGAGCTCGGGTCGTCGACCGGAGCTCGGGTCGTCGATCTGCTTGAACCGTGCGGTGAAGATCTTCTTTCTTGCAACAAATAGATGTGCATGTTTAATAATATATGTTTAAACAGACAACCCTTTTGGTCGGATGTTTGGATTCTGAAATCAGCCAAGTTCCCCAGGCGTTCCTCGCATTGTTGGAAGATCCAGGTATGGGCTTTGGGTTTTCCGTTTCCGACCCAAGCCCCGTCTGGAAAAGAACAAGTTGTTCATGTTGGCCCAACCCGCTTCACGGAAAAGGTTAACTTTTTGGCCCGTCTAGAAACGAAAGAGAAACCCACCCCAGTCTCACCTTCTCAGAGGGTACTTGGAGCCCCTACGGAAAGAGAAACTCTGCATGATCTCGCCTAGGTCCGTTTGCCCTTCTCTTGCTCTCTTCTGGGCGTGCGATACCAGATGAGCGCGCTGGATGCTCGGTAGGGTCAGTCAGGGAAATTGATACTGTAATAAATTTGGTCATATTGGGTATACATGCGTGGATATCAAAACCATGTCTATCAATGCAACACAACAGGACACAACCATTTTCTTGCCTTGTTCATGGGCGAACCCCATGTAGCAACTGGGTCGTGAAGAGTCAAAGACCTCAAGGTGGTGGTCTTCTGCAGGGCGCTCCGAAGATCTTTCAGAGTTACTTAAGCTTTTTAAGGCATATCACTGGGATATACTGAAACCATCTTAAA